AAAATATTCTATTTCAGATACCAGAGAAGCATCTGCTGTCAAATACTGTAATGCTTTAGCAACTGGACAGTTCTACAAATGTTTGCCATTCTTAATTTGCTCATTCCTGACATGTTTACAGGCCACATGAAAAGGTCTGTGTTGCTTCACATTGCCAGGCTCACCCCCTCTCTTTTTCTTTCTACACTCTCTCTGGCTGACAGGAGGCGTCTCCGCTATCCTGACAGGCCCAGACATGGAATTTGGGAAACAGCAGAAGTTTTAAATTATATAGATTATTGTGCAAAGCACAGGAAATTAAAACCAATTAATTCCTTGTAAATACAAATGGAACCAGACTTCCCTTTTAATTTATGCTGACATTTTACCTTCCCCCAATGGTGCCTTCCCTGTTGTCTGAGGGAATCCCGCACAACTAGAATGAGCATTGCTACTACTCGCCTGTAATACAATACAGAATACAAATGTGCAGAGACTGCTGATAAAAAAGAAAAGGCCACATGGTTGATTCTTACAGGAGACTTATTAGGTGTCTTATAAAATAGTGTGTCTGCTCCGAGAGAGGACATTAATCACATCTTGGGTTCAGAACTGTGAAAGCATAGTAGTCTATAGAGAGACTAAACTATAACATACTTTCAAAGCTTAAATTCCTCCCTAGACAAGGGAGAAGTAAGAGAGAAAGACAGAGGGTTTTTTCTTTGTTTCCATGATACCTACAAATCAATGAATATTCTATGAGCACAGACAGAGCTTCTTGAAAGGCTAATCAGATGGAAGAAAATAACAGAAGCCCCAGCTAAAAATATTCAAAATGCTAAATACAAAAAAAGTCAGCGGAAGAAATGGAAAATAAAACGACCCAACGCTGTGTTCCCAGAATGTTGAATAGAAAACCATGGGTGTGAAAAGTTCATTTGGAAGGCGATAAGACTGAAGAAATCTTTCATAATTTTAGCTTAGAAAAAGGCACAGCTTAAGAACGCAAGGCTCACCCACGAAAAGTCTTAAATCTCTCTTTGGGTGTGCAGTTAGCACTCCCAGCCCTAAACAGCACATCCCCAAATGTTTCTAATTCTCCTCACCATGCAGGAAAGAAAGATTTCTCCCCACTTTCCCTCATGGAATTCACCCTTCAGAAAGCGCAGAACTTTAAGGTTCTATGGCCATGTCTTCACTAAATAGAAGATTGACACTGCCATGATTGATCTTCCGGAGTTCGATTTAGCATACTCCTGCTCCTGTGTACTCGATTTAGCGTACTTGGCCTCCCGCTGTGGGGATGGTGGGGAAACACAAAACAAGATACATCAACTTCAGCTACATAAGTAACATAGCTGGAGTTGCATATCTTGATTCAACCTTTTGCTGTAATGTAGACCAGGCCTAAGACTGAAAAGGCTCTTCGGAAACAATGGCCATTTGCTTTATTTCAAATGTGCAAAAGAGCTAAGTGCTGAGATGTAAAGTTGGCATCATAACCACTTGTAACAATGATTCTCGCTTGCGCCAGCTTTTAATCCATTTAATGTGTGCCATTAAATTTAAAATCCTAGAAATATACATATGTGGCATATCGAATATTTCTAAATTATGGAGCTCATCATACTGTTAAGTGTCATAGCTGCTCCTCCTACCCTAAGTTCTGTTATTCCCAAAGTTCCATCTGTTACATCTTAATTATTAGGAGGCCTTTAATGAATAGTTAAAGACCAGCATGAAAGAAAAGAACAAGCAAATATTCATCCTGGTTGGAGGAGTATATAGAATTGACACTCCCTACATGTCCTGTCCCAACATATTTTGGGTCTTAAAGAAAATCTGGAACCAAGTCTCCACTTCAATTCCCCCAAAATCCTGATCTGCCAGATAGAAGAAAAGAATTCCAGAGCACTCTGAGGTTATGTCTACACTACAGCATTAATTCGAACTAACTTAATCTAGACCTAAAAACTAATTCGAATTAGTGTTTTGCTAATTCGAAATAGCATGTCCACATTGAGTGGACCCTGAACCGAAGTTAAGGCTGGCCGGAACCAGTGCCGGCAGGGCATCAGGTTAGGACTTAGAAAGTGGAGCGGCTGCCTCAGGCTAGCCTAGGGCTGTGCTTAAAGGGACCCGACCCCCACCCCGGACAAACAGTTCTCAGGGTTCCCCGCTTGCTTGTCTACCTTGATGAGGGACAGCAAAGCAGTCCTGTCTTGGAGTGCCCTGACTGCCCACACTCGGCACATCACAGCACTCGGCCATCAGCCTGGCTGCACTTGCCGCAGGATGCCATCCGGGGAGGGGGGGCCAATCAGGGGGCTTTGCAGGAGAGCCACCCCAGTCCTCCCTGTCAGGGACTCATGCCCCATTCCTCCCTCACCTCCTTCCACTTACCCCTCCTTAGCCCCCCTTCCTGATGTACAAAATAAAGGCCACGTGTGTTCAAAAATAGAAACTCTCTTTATTTAACAAAACTGGGGGGGGGCGGGATTAACCTCTGGGGAGACTGGGAAAAGGAGG